TCCGCAAGGTGGATACGTACTCACCACTTTACAGGTGAGGACACTGAGGCATAAAGAGGGAAGGTGACTTGCCCAGCTAGGAGGTGGCAGGGATAGAAAGAAAACCCAGGCAGCCTGGCTTTGAATCTCCACACCATCCACCTGGAACCCCAGCATACAAGCCTTGGGTGGATTTAGCTGTGTGACGAGGATCTGACTCTGAACACACAATAGGATTTCAGCAAAGGGGCAAAGAGCTGACCTCAGAAATGATTGACTTTGACATCTGCACGGGGAGAAGCAGACTCCTCCCAGTCCCTCGCAACACATCCACCCTCTGGTCCAGCTTGGGGCCTCACAGCGCCCACAGGGCTAGCGTTAGGCTGGGCTCACTGCAGAAGGGGCAGAAAAGCCAAGGGAGAAGCTGAGGCTGAGCTGAGAAGCTCCAGCTTCCTCTTGCCTGGGGCAGTGCCCCTGGCCAGATCTTTCCACTGAAAATGCGCAGACTCTAGAAGCCAAATCCCATTATTAATGCTTTAGTGAGATCAGCTTTGTCCAATTTTTGGACGACTGTGAAAACAAGGATCTAAAAACAGAGATCAGGAAAGTACTGAAAACAGCATGTCTGGGGGGCAGACCCAAGGTCACACTTGTCATTTCTCAGCTCCCAGTCCCGTGCCCCGCAGAGCAGCCACAGCAGGAGGTGAGAGGTCACAAGAGTGCCCCCATGGCCTCCCTGAGTCAAGGCCAGGCCTTTGAAGGAAGCTCCCTCCTGTCAGCGATGGGCCCAGCGGACTGGAAGGAACTGGCTTAATAAATGTTTGACTTTGTTGTTTGGAGGAGGGCAGGAGCCTCGGCCAGGCCCCGGAGCGGCTCTGAAGTGCTATTAGGCCCCCTGACACTTCCTTTCTCTTTCCAAGGTGTTCTCATGACAGCTGCTACCTGGCGTCCGCAGGGCTGGAGCAACTGCCTGTACAAGGTGGTGACCTTCTAAATCCACATCCGTTAATGAACCTGGCTGGCCCTGGGAGCCCCGGAGGCTGCACCCTCTGCGGTGGCTTCTGCCAAATTCCTCTTGTTGTTTTTGATTCTCTTCTTCCTCCTCCTCCCCCTTCCCATTATGCCTGACATTTCTAAGGCCAAGTTTTGTTACAAGCAATTAGCCTGTGTCAGGGATCTGGGGAGAAGGGCTGCGTGCCAAGAACCGGCTGAGGTAGGAAGCGTGAGAGTGGGGAGGGCTGCCTGCCTGGAAGCCCGCTACCCAAAGGGCCCCTGCGTGGTTGCCCTGCACAGACCACCTCTTCCTACACTGACAGTGGGGACGGGCCCCTCAAGAGGTGAGCCATGGGTACAGGAGCCCCAAGTGAGAAGCCACCATTCTCTACTCTGGAGCCCTCCTCCTGCTTTTCATCTAAAAATTTATCCTCCCAACCTGAACTTCTCAGACCCTGGATGGGCCCAAAAGCCAGAGATCATGGCCTATTTCCAATCCTTAAAAAGGGAAAAAGAAATATATTTATCCACAATAAGCTGTATAGGCTAAGCCCCAAAAGTATTTTTAACTTTGCCTGGAATTATTTGCTCACTCACTACAGCTGTCTAGACACTCAGGTTGTCTGTTTGGTATGCTGATGAATAAAAACAATGCAATAGAGTATTTCAGAATCAATGCATTCTCTGGGGTAGACATTCTTACATGGAGGGTGGTATTTTGTGGGAGC